CTGTGGGTCAGAATGGACTCCAGGCAGTGGGTGTGGTTGGGGCTTTGCTTCTGTGAAGATTGACAGCCTTGGAGACCCTGTGGGCAGTTCCACTCTGTCCTCTGGGGCTCTGTGGGTCGGAATGGACTAGACAGGAGTGGGTTTTTGGGTTTGGCCCTGGGAAGGAGCCATGCTCGTGAGCTGTGAGGCGAGGACTGAAGCCTGCGCTTGGCTCCCAGCTCCCCTCGCCTCTCAGATGACTCCCAGGGGTCCGTGTGGGCACCATGGGGCTGCTGTCCGTTGGTGATTGAGAACGGGACAGGTCTTGTTGGTACGAATGGGGACGTGGAGGCACAAGTGGACCTTTCGGGGCAGAAGCGCAATGGCACCGTGTGGCGGGACACCAGGCCCGCTTCCTCCCGCCAGAGCTGTCCTCTGTACCCTTCACCCCTCAACCCTGGAGACCGTCAGCACAATAGACCCAGAGCAGCACTCATCTTGCCATACAGCATGACGTCAGCTGTAACAAGGCCCAGGGATGGGGACCACGAGTGTCCTTGTGCATTGTCATCTCCACAGCCCCTGTATTCCCCCCCTGGACCCCAGTGCCAATGGGGTGGTGCCCACAGAGATGGCAGCCAGGACAAGGGTGGTCCGGCCACCCAGGTGCAGCCAGGCCCTGGGGAGCCAGGCCCCGGCCCCAGGCATGCCAAGCTGCCTTGGCCAGCGGTGGGTTCATAGGACTCACTGGGCTTAGTAGGGCAGAGGAGACAGTCTCAGTGCCCTCGGGGACACGTCTTAGGCCAGTGAGTCAGGGCCAGGCTGTGCCCACCACAGCAGCCCTTGCACCCTCCCCAGGCCCCTGCCACGTGCCCACTCGGGCTGTTTCCCTTCCTTGCAGGGGCCGGTGTCTTCTTCCTGTCCTCAGCAGAGGGTGAGCACATCAGCTTCCTGTTTGACTGCATCGTAAGAGGCGTCTCCCCGACCAAGGGCCCCTTTGGACTACGGCCGGTTCTCCCAGGTGCGGGCAGGGCACGGGGTGGCCACTCAGCGTCCAGGGAACAGTGCCCCCCCAGGTCCATTGGTCGGTTGGTGAGCCGCCCTGCCTCACCAACCCCTCTGACCTCGTCAGCCCGTGTTTCTGACAGTGGCTGGGGGCAGGGCACTTCTTGGGGGACAGCCAGCACGTCTCAGGGCCCATGTCCACCTGGGAGTTCTCTCTCCTTTGGGGTCCCAGCTGTGGGCAGCCGGCTCCTGGTTGGGACCACTTGGTCACAGACGGCAGAGACTTGGAGCTGGCAGGTGTCTTGGGGACCTCTTGGGCTGCCCCTCATCTCCAGACAAGAAGTGGAAGGGCGTCCTGCAGGTCACCTGGCGTGACGGGGCGCTGGTTGGTCTGACTGCGGCTGAGGTGTTAAAAGATGGTGTCTGGGCTGGAAATGCCTGTGTGTGGGGACAGAGGCTTTGAGGTTACTCCTGGGCACAGAGTGCATTTGAGGGGTACAGAGTGGGCCTGAGTTGACCCTGTCTTCTCACCCCCCTCTTCCTGGCCAACACCAAGGGTGGCATTTCTGAAGTCCTCATCCGGGCACATTTCTGGGCCCCAGGCATCCTTGCAGCTCGAGCCTTCCTCCCAGGAGATGAGGTCCGCCTTCTCTCGGGGACACTCATGGGACCCTTCTCATCCCCACAGCTTGTCACTCAGGGGCCCGGGGTGGCACCAGGTCCTGGGAAGTTATACATGATCATGGCTGGTGCCCGCCACCCCACCCTCCAGTGGCAAGCACGGGCGTTCGCTGTCCAAGTCGGGAGACGAGGCCTATAGCCGTGCGGCCGGTGGTCAGGTCCACCGCGCGTCCGTGTCTCCCCGCACGGGCGCCTGCGGGACACGGGCAGGGCTGAGGGTGTCCCTGGGGTGACAGAGGTTCCGAGACGTGCCAGGTCCTCCTGAATGGGCGCCTGCGGGACACGGGCAGGGCTGAAGGTGTCCCGGGGATTACAGAGGCTCCGAGACGTGCCGGGTCCTCCCGCAGCGGCTGCAGGCTCCCGGGAGGAGCGCCAAGGTGCCCCGTTGGAGGCGCAGCGGCGCCCTCTGCTGGCGCTGTCCTGCCTTGCAGCACAGACGTCGCTCCAGACTGAATTCCTCAGGGCCCCAAGCTCACCCTGCAAGAGCCCATAGGACGCAGGCTGCACCTTAAGTGAGGGGGCCCCACCCCCAGAGCAGAGCACGCGGCCTCCACGTGGGGATGTGAGGACAGACTGGGGTGGCCACCGACCTACCAGATGCAGCCTCCCATGGTCAGGAGTGTGGGGGCCCTTCACCCCCAATGTCCAGGGTGAGCCCTGGTGGGCACACAGGCCGAGGGGGCATATATGGGGCCGGGGTGGCCTCAGGGATGGCAGGTTCCCTGTGAGGCTCCGTCTGTGGGGCTGGGGCAGTGGGGAACCAGGCCCAGTGGGGTGTCGCGTGGCTGTGTGTGGTCTCCACCGTGGAGGCTGTGGGCCGGGGGCAGTGGGGCAGGTGTGAGGTGGCGAGGACCCCACAGGGGTCGGCCATCGCAAAGACGGAAAATCAACAAGACGTGGGGGGGGGCGTCCGGCTGCCCTGGGTTCTGGGGGGGCCAGGGGCTGGATGGGGTGTGGCCAGGGGCCCAGCATCTGGAGTGCGGATGAGGGGTCACCCCTAGCTCAGACCTTGTGCTGGGGCTGGACGAGGGGCTGGCGGTGCCCTGGGGCTGAGGGTCGTGGAGAGACCCCTTTTCTGACTTGTCCCTCACAGACCCGAGCCCCGGGGGCGCCTTGACCATGGAGGACCGTGCTGCCCAGGAAGCCCTACAGCTGGAGAAGCGACTCAGCCTCCTCTCCCACTCGGGACGGCCGGGCAGCAGAGGTGGGCTGGGGCTGGGAGGCTGGGGGCCAGGGGAACAGAGGGCTGGGGCTGGGGGGGACCAAGGGGCCAGGGGCCAGGGAGCTGGGGGGCGGGGGACAGGGAGCCAGACCACCCCAACCCTTCTTGATCCCTCAGCAGAGCCCCCCAGTCCCACCCTGAGCGTACCTCAGGGCCCTACAACTGTCCCTGAGTCCTCACCCAACACACTCTGGCCCCCAATCCCACTCTGAGCACACCCCAAGGCCCCCAGCACTCCCCAATCCCTCAGCAGGCCCCCCACTTCTACCCTGAATGGACCAGGCCCCCCACT